GACGGGGAGGCGGAGGGCAGGACTGGGCAGCGCTGGCCTGGGGTCTGCTTTTGAACACCGTCGCCGGGTGTGGAAGACGCATTGCAGGGAGCAGGCAGGCAGGCAGGTGAGCAGCTAGGAGCCAGCGGTCCTAGATTGTGAGAGGGATGTCCCAGATTGGAGAGGGTGCAGGCCGGGCTGAGGGACACAACCCCACATGCACGAATTTCATACGTCCTGCTGTTTGCTGAGGGGACGGAAGAGCCACGAGCCGTGTGTCTCCGCGCACCCGTGGAGGACAAGGGCAGACGGGTGAGGGGGTCAGCAGCCTCAGAGCTCCCAGCCAGCCGCTCATTCCCGGGCTTGGTGTGGGGGAGGGGGGGCATTTTGAGAGGCGAAGAAGCCACATGGGCCACCCCAGACCTCAGTGGCGATGACTGGACGCAGTATGGGGGGCAGTCGCTCAGCACCACCGGCCGCCAGGCTCCTCCATCAGCGACCACACCCTGCGGAGCAGCGGCCGGTGAGCCCTGTGCCTGGGCCAGCGAGCACGTCAGGCCCAGCCCCTGCAGGGAGGTGACACCCACCAAATCCCCGCCCCGTCCTGCAAGCTGAGAGGGTTGATCAGCAGCTGCCACAAAGGCTGCAGATCAGGCCTAGAGAGAGGCCCAGAGTCAGAGGCAGGCAGAGGGGTTAGGGGCAATCAGGCAGGCAGGCAGAAGCAGTTAGAGGTTATCAGGCAGGCAGGCAGGTGAGCAGCTAGGAGCCAGCGGTCCTAGATTGTGAGAGGGATGTCCCAGATTGGAGAGGGTGCAGGCCGGGCTGAGGGACACAACCCCTGCCCCCCACACACACACACAAATTTTGTGCACCGGGCCTCTATATAACTATAATCATTGGTTCTTTCCTGTTGAGTTCAAAAACATGTAAATTAATTGGATAGTTCCACAAAGAGAACCTACATGATTAAGCATATATTCACATGCACATGTTTTGCTCACATGTAAAGCATATCATTGTAAATGAATTCCTTTCCTTATGTTAATTCAAACCCAAAAAAATTTATGGATGTTGCGGGAAGCCACCCACTGCCGATACTGTCATGCGAGTGCACCAAGGAGCACGGAAGGCCGGCGGACCTTGAGCGTTAGCAGGGCTGACGCCAAGCACCGTTGTTCGTGTTGAGATAACATTGGCTCGAAGCAATTTCCTACCTGATAGGCTCCAAGCAAACGTTTCCTGGACCTTCGTGATCCTTACTGATCTTCACTGACTTCAGAGACGGTCTGTCCGCTATCTGTTTGCCGTGCTTTGCCGAGGGCAAGATGTGTACCTAAAACTGAATAAAAAGCTGGTAAGGCCAGGTTTTGGTGTGCCTCTTCAAGGAAGAAAGACTCCACCTGGACCCCATGCCTTCAAAGTTCATATTTCTTGTCTAGGGTTTTCATTTGTGCGTCAGCCCCTCCTTCAGATCCCAAACCCCCGCCTCGAAGGTTGCGGCAAATGTTACAAAACTAGATACCACATAACGTTAAATGGAAAGAAACAGAATACATTCCATTAGTTTCCAAGAGTTTTTAAGGTGGTATTTTTTGCAAACTAGAGTCATACTTTGTGGCTCAGCGTTCTCCGTGTGCTGGTAGAAACACCTGCAGGAAATCTGTGTTCGTCTTTATCGTGGGAGGTAAACACAACGCGGCCACGAGGGAAACGCGTCCCACAAAACCTTCCTTTTACGATCCAGGTCTTTGGTATCAAAGGCAGCTGTACCAGTGGCAGTCTTGTTTAAATCAATGAACACCTTTCTCGCGGGATTAATGTGAGAATCTGACAAATAACACTTTACATCGAAATGCGTGTTTAAAACGTCTCCTCAGCAGAACCGGCGTCCTCCACCCCAGCCGGGAGCCCCGCGGCGTCTGGGTCTGTTCCAGCATCGCCCTGGGACTTTCTGCCTCCGCTGACCCGAGCCTTAACCCAAGGCTTCCCGGAGCGGCGGGCCCGTGGTGAGGCCCATTCATCGCAGATTCACCTGTTCCTGGAAATGACATCCCTCTGA